GTGATATTAATATACACTGAGTCGCTTAGGTGGTCTTCTTTCAAGCAATTATTATAAGTATTTGCAGTGATTCGTTGAACAAATTATTCTATCAATTATATCTCCTTACTTCTTTTTCTGTAAAATGCACCAATTCTACAGAAAACAAATTTTACTCTAAAAGCAAGCTTTAACTGTCGATATACATTATGTATAATTCTACCAAGAATCGTATTAGCTAGAGAAACATACAAAAATTATCATAATATTCACTAGTTGGGTATACTACCATACTATGTCGTTTCCCAGGCGTTCTTCGAATATCATAAATATCTTCCATATTTTCTATCACAACATTTCACGTAGAAGAAGATTATAATAGAGGATAGTTCTCTTTTTGTCAACATTTACATTTTCTTCGTTCTTCTTCTTAATGCTATTTCCATCCGTAAATCACGATTTCATCTTAGAATATATTAATGTAAAGTATCCAAGAGGAAATATCGATCATCCTGATTGATAAAAAGGAAATTACATATCTAATGCGTATGATGTACTATGGCAGAAAAGGAAGCCAATAAAAATGATAATGAGCTGGAAATAAATTTACTTTCACTGCGGCACGATGACTTTGCTATTTTACTTTCGGATTGACATAAATATTAATGGTGGGCATTATTTAACTCTGTCGATCGTTATAATTTTCTCCGTAATTCGACATCAATGAGATCGGTTCGATAAAAAGTTATCGCTATTAATATTAAAGGACTATCATGTCGATGAAATTTATGACAGCCAATAGTGACATTATTAGCGTACATTCAAAATTTATATTTCTAAAAATATTCAATAATATTGATTCTTTGATCTATGTTCTTTTAATTTTATTCAGCAAATTCTGGTACCAAGATGACGCCATAGTTTGTCACTAGTTCGACTCATGATTCACACGTGCTTATATGGAATTACAACGTTTGCGGTTTTTCTGACAATTCTTGTTTGTGCACTTCCTTCACTCGGTCAACGTAAGCTGCAACTTAAATATAATTATCTTGACATAAGTTGAAACCTTGAAATTGAAATGAATAAAAAATCAAATTTATAAGAAAAAACAATTTTGTTTTGAATCATTATTAAAGTAATATATCATTCAACTTTGTCAAATATTAAATATATAATAACATTATTAAAATATTCATAATTATCATGGAATAGAAAAATTGTTAAATAATTGAAATGGAAAATCAAAAAAAATGGAAAGTATTTGATATTCCAACTAAAATTAATAATACAAAATAAAATATTTACGATGTTTTTCCAATAATTTTATCGCAAATAATTCCAAGTCCTATATCCTTGTATCTTGTATAAGCTTCAGAATAATTTTTCCAATGTGTATTCACGGCTTAATTGTTTAGACAGCAGTCGCTGGATCGGGAGAACTTTTATCTCGAAAGCATATCGGTAATTTAACAAAGGTGTGTTTATTCAATGAAGTCAGGACAAACCCCACTTAATGGTGCTCGATATTCAGGTCAATATCCATAATAGGTATACCTGCGCCGATCGATCTGGATACCGTTCATTTCATCATTTTAAAAGATTCTCGGTCCACGAAATTACGTGTAACGCCCAACGCTTGCAGCTTCTAATAAAATACTTGCTCAACTTTTAATCACTATCTCCTTCTTCGTTATAAATTATAAGCAATATCCGCTGTAAAATTTTATATATTAAATTATGACAAAAACTAATGCAATGAAATTCATAGAAATTTTTGTCTCTAGTTACTTTCAGTTTACTTATAATATATTAAATCTTACTTGTGAAGTATCTATCATAATATGAAATGTTAATTAAGCTTAGTTTCGTTTGATATGCTCTATTATAATCATCTTTAAGAAACATCACTTTAAATAAAGTTTTACTTTGATTAAAAACTTCTATCATTAATCTTGAAGACATGTTCAGAGTTGTGCTTCAACCTTCATCATCTTGTCTATTTCATTTAAAGTTACTATATTACTCTCGTTTATCTAAAATCGATTTATGAAGTTCTAGAATTTTATTCAATTTATTCTCATTAGATGTTACTTTACCTTAAAATTGTATTTATCATGTTACCTTTTTTTTCTTCTGACATATTCATATTATTTGTATTAGAAATAATTCTCGAAATAGGTTAGAAATTAAATTAAATTCTATCAAAATATTTGAAAAATAGTCTCTACTGTCATCTGGTGGTCAGTTGCTCCACCCACCTTATTGGAATATATCAGGTTATCCGAAAAGTTTCTTTCGCTTTATAAGGAAATAATAGACGTACAATATTTTTTGTTTTATATTAGTTTATCGAATTATGCACGAACGTAATAATAGAAATATAACGAAATGGATCATACCTAATTCAATAAAATAATGTAAAACAGGAATTGTTGTTCATCTAATATCACCTTATGAAACGAAAGAAACTTTTCGGACAACCTAATATTTTCAAACATATCATTGACATATTCCCATTCGTTAAAAATGTGCAAAAACATTTACGTTTACAATGGTTTGATTGTATTATACAAATGCTTGACTAGACTTGAATTAATCGTCGTAACGAGCGACCCTACTTCATTGTCTTGGTAAGGATACTTGAACTTAACGAGACCATTTTACCCGATAGAAAAAGTAGAAACCATCAAGGAGTCATCGTATCGGCTATGAATCGAAATGCGATTCGAACCCCTCTCCAAATGAAAACATTCAGCCCCTTAACGAACAGTAATTTTATTCATGCTCTATTTCGTATGCTATCTATTTAATGGGAGTTAGTCTGATAGATCTTCATTATTCTTTTTTACCAATTTTTACGACTAACCTCCAAGCACTCCGTGTCTGCGCTGGTTATAAACAGAAAATTATAATGTACCAATAATAATAATAATAACAACAATAATAATAATACAATAAAATAATAATAAATAGACTACAGATATTTACGCATTTATTGAATATTTAAAGAATACTTGTTATAATACTTAGTAGATAAAATAAATTTCTACTTAAATTCCATATTTTTAGATATATTCGTAACAATATAAAAATGCATGAAAATCTGCAGCAGAATAATAGCTAATCACAAGAAGTATAAATATGGATAACTTATATAGCAGAAAATGATGTTATTATCCAAGAAACTGTAAACTATTTCGGTTGATAGTTGGAATGCAACTGAATTATTTAAAGACAATGCCTAAAGTTAGATTTACGTAAATGTTTGTGTTAAGAGTGTGCCATAGTTTTGAAGGCAGTTAAGTACATGTGCCCATATTGTTTTGACTACGCATTTAAGTGCGCAACTGCGCAGCTGGTAATTTGATCTACCTTTTTCATGGGCCGATGCTGTAGGATCAACATTTTTCTCAATTCTTTTGTGAGTACATACACAATACATATAATCAACAGCTGATAACTCCAACTCTGTCATTGAAAATATTATAGTGTTACCTTATTGCAATATTTGGACTTAGTACACAGGAAAAAAAGATTAAAAATTCTTTAATTAAATTAATGCTTTCCTTATTACGATACAATACAACTAGTAATAATACAAAAATTAATGAAAATAGCGTCAATTAAAAGAAGGCTGTAAAGGTCAGTTCATATGCTCATAGAGGGCGGAGGAGTTTAACTACGTCTGTCAAATATCAGTTATTTCTTAATACAAACGATTTATTATTAGCGAGGAAGAAATCGCAGGAAATTCGTTGCACAAATTTGTTCTAAACAGATTTAACATCGCTAAAAGGAAATCGATCATGCTAAAGTGGAGGGAAAAACAGAGATCTTTTCAATTCGAGGAATGGTGTTTGTTTTGTACGTTTCATTTGACGTTCAGCGGCAGGACTAATTTATTATAGCGATCTAGTGCACAAGCGAACGGGATTAGATTTTTGCGCAATCCTCGTTTATTGGTAAAGGAAGAAGTTCCATTGCGAGAGGAAATGCTTAGCTAGAATATTATTCGTGATCTTCGAATTTCACTTAAAAAGAATTTTTCTTTTACCTTTTCAATAATGTAAAGTTCTTTAATTATTTTTATTAAATATCTGTTTACTTTTTCCATTAGAGGTTATGTGATAAAAGTTAAATAATTAATAAACTCGCTTATCACTTCTGTTTGCAAATAATTGTCAGTCATTTATAGACGATGAAAAAGGTAAATCTTCTATTCTTTTTAAAATTTTCGTTTCACTGTTTCAACAAATCTTTATTTATGTAACATAAAGCTTTTTCATTGTTCTTATTAAATTTTCTTTTTACCCATTTTTGGAAAGACCAAGAAATTAAATTAGAGGTTATGTGACAAAAATTAAATGCACAATTGATAAATTTGCTTATATTGTTCCCGTTTTAAAATAATTATCAGTCATTAATGGATCATGAAAATAGTAAATCTTCCAATTTGATAAAGATATTACTTTAGAAAGTTATAGTGGACTAAAACAGAATGTCTTCTTTCGCAAGACGACGAAGAGTTTGAAGAAGATAAATTTGACTTATATAGAATTACGTCATCGACTGATTATTGTGTTTCAAGTTATGTATTTAAGCTTGATAAGAAGAGTATAAATTATTTCACGATATTCTATTATGAAGGAGACCGCCCGGTTTAGCCGAGAGGCAATGGTTCAATTAATGGTGATTTCTTTTAATTACATTTTTTTACAGATATGAATATTACAGCGTGTACTCGTCCCTGAGTGATCTCCCGATGCAAACATTCTACCGTTCTCATTCTAAACAAGATTCAATTGTCGTGTCGATAATCTTGTAGTTTATGTTCAGCTTTACCATTAGCCATTTTATCATGCATTAAAACTGAATGTGAGAAAACTCCACTTCAGCAGGATTTCATGATTTGTTCAAAGGAATTTTGTCAAACTTTAATAAATTTCTTCAAACAGAAAGAGATCTCATGTTACCAGAGTTATATGTGTATGTATATATACATTTGAAACAATATAAACAATTTTAAAGTAAGTTTATTTTTAAAAATACATTTTCATGTATTTTTCTGTATTCATATTTCAATACTCATTAGCTTACATTCATTTCTATAGTTAACAAGAAAAAAAAGTAGTAAAAGCGATCAGAGGCAAATATCGAAACACAGTCCTTAACCCCATTGAGGGTGATAAAATTGATAAAATATATGATGTGTGAACATTATCTATAGATATATTCTTATCGCCTTTTCGCCCGTTTAAATACATATATTGGTTTTCTTGCTCAAAAGAAATAATCTAATGCTTGTTTTATAAAAGAAAAGGAAGACAGGATTAACATATAATGTACAATATACACGCATACCCATTCCTACAGTATACGGATGATGTCATGCCCAGAAATGTTGATAAGAACGGGAGACTTGTTGAGGAAGATTCTGAAAATACTATTAAAAAGGAGTATAACAAAGAAGAAGAAATGTTATCTTTTTGTGAAAAAGTTAATTTATCGTTGACCTTTTGGAAATATTTCATGCTATTTAAAAATTAGATAAAAAGATATTAAGATATTCATGAATTGTGTAGAAACTCGAAAATATAACGACTATTTATTAGTGTTTATTTTGGACTTTTTATATGCAGAGCTTAAAAAGTAACTAAAGATTACTAAAAATTCACCAAAACAGGAGCGACTTCTTGCTTAAGAAATTACAATTTTATTTGAAATGAGTGTTAAAGAATTTTTAGAAAGACTGCTTTATATTTGAAAAGAAGATCCAAAGAAAGATGTTAAAAAAGTGCCAAATTTGTGTTGGTACATGTTCTTTTATTGGAACTAGACGAAAACTGAATCCAGTACAAATTACTTCGTCGCGTACAGCTTATGGAGAGAATAGATTGCACATGTGCAGTCAAGAATTCGTATTTACGCTATCCACTTTTGTTCCACTCTTCAAACATTCATTTACGTCCGCTTGTCCGCTTCTTATATATAGTTTGAGCTGCACGGTCACGCCTATTTTAACTGTATTCGTTTACATGCATCTGCAGCACACGAAGAAGCATTGAGGTATCGAATTATTTATACGATTGACGATCTTCTTACGACCTCGATTGTATCGATTTTACTAAAAAATCAATTACAACAATCTAAATGCAATACAAAATTTATTTGATATTTCTCTTATGATTTTATTCCAGAACAGAAGAAAAGAAGATTTTTTAAAAAAATTAACGTATTGCTTAGTCAAAATTGATCATTCAAGAAGAGATCATAAGATCATAAGGATGGTTCAAGAAATCATAATATGACCATTTAAGCGTATATACAAGGAGTACAAGGTCATCAAGTAAAACAGATTCTGAGAACCTAAATTGATCTGTGGCTTCTTCCCTTTGTGTTAATTCACAAGATGTTGAAAACTGAAAGATAAACTATCTTTGTTTATAGAGTTGATGCATTATTTTCTTTAGAAATATCAGATATTTGTAATTCTGTAGGAAATATTATACCTCAGACTTGAAGACTTAAAGTAAGCATAGGATCATATGCTTGAGTGACTTTTTCGCGTGGAATAATCTAAAATACAATAACCTGTGTATATAATATGGCTATCCGATATATGTATTAATACAACATACACGCGATTCCTTTCATCTTTGATGAAACGCGATCCTCCAATTACCTGGAAAAATATACTCACGTACATATCTTTGATTAAAAGCTATTGCTTCCATACCATTAAGACAGTCTATCATCATAGAACGTCATAAAGTTTCAATTGACCCGCTGCTGCACGATTTTTCTTAATCATGCCAGAGTTAATTATCTGACTGCTTCTGAACTACGATGGTATATACTTCCTATTAATTCATATAGTATATAATATAAATATATGAAATACAATATTACGCAAGTATATATTTACAGATAATACTTGTAAATTAATTTCAAAGATTCCAAACTTTTCCAGATTTCTTGTATCTTTCAAGTTCTGAATATAAGGACGAGATTTTTTCCAAGAGAAAGAAGAAAATAAACATAGAAAGATTTAAGAAAAGGAAAGGTAAAATTTAATAGTAGAATACTTAAAAAAAAATGTTTAGTTTCAGGAATTTTCAATCTTCAATTTCTTAAAATTAAGATTTTTCAACTTCAAACAGGAAAATATATTAAAAGAATGTTTTTAAATCAACAGGAAAACCAATAACCAACGGATACCATTAAATATCTAAAAATGAAGATATATACCAGCTAGACCATATTTACACTAGACATAAACAACCAATGTAATTCCTCACTTCCCACGTACATTCGCGCTAGAAATATTCACAGTCTACATCATGAATATTTCCCGATTACTAGTGTATCCAAATTTCCCTGTAATTCGCCTAGGGACATCGTATGCATTGATAGATTATCGTGCATTTTTGTATATAACCATCAATCTCTCTCTGAGGGACTAAGTTATACGATGAAAGGGGAAAAAGAACAAAAGAAGAAAAAAGTAGTAGATGTTAAAGAAGCAGCCACTTACAGGACCGTCGTGTTGGTTGGTACTCGTGGTACACGGTTCAGCTTCTGAAACATGCATCTCACGGTGTTTCCGAAGCACATACACTTGTGAGGGCATTCCACGTTCCTCCCGTTTTGCCATTGGTCCGCGTTGGATAATGGCAGGATCAACAGGAGCGAGCAAACGACACTTAACACCAGCCTCATCTTGCTGTACCCACGTGTGATCAGTCTTATTCTTATTAAGGTTGTTCCCCGCACTATTTCGCGCTAGCACGTGCTGGTCATCGAGATAAACGCAGCCTCCGTCTGGCAGCAGTCTTTGGCCACGCGGTACTTTCACTTCTCTCTGTTTCAGAGATCCACGAACCTTTCCTGTAATGTTCGAGCTGGAGCTGAGTGTCCTGCAGCCAGGATCCGTATAATTTTATACATTATGTTGGCTTTATATGGGATAGCGGATTATTTATTACACTTTGGCGGTGGATTTTGAATGCATTTCTTTGAATGGATGTTTGTGAAGAGCATGATAAAGGAAGAAATGTTTGATTATTTGGATATTAAATCTGGTATGTAAATTGTTGTGGGTTGAATATTGGAATGTTATTATAGGCAATGTGGGAGAGAATGATTTTGTAATAGCATAAAAATATCATAAAGGTGTAGCGAATGTTATGTAGATGAAATTTTGAGTATGAAAGTTTTATGTTGTTTATTAGTATAATTTTTTTTCGAAATTTTATACCAGTATTATGAAGTTATTGGTATCCTATGTTAAATGATCTGATAATAGATCTGATGACAGATCTGATAATAGATAGATGATATAATAACAGATAAACTTTAATGATTATATCCATACTTAATAACAAAATTTTAATAGATTACTTTTGCGAAAATATTTTTAGTAATACACAGGATGTATTGTAATTTGACGTAAAAAATGCCTACCCTCTTATACACAGCATATCTAGTTCAAGTATATACCTAAATCTAATCCAAATTAAAAGACTAAATATGTTAACACACAAAATACAAATCTATTCAATCAGAAACTCCAAATCAATTTCAACTAACTCAAACTAACTAGGCATACTCTCCATAATACTCGACTTCCATTATTCCTTGTTAAAAGTTTCAAATAATCTACCCTAAACCTCAATTTCTGAACCTTGTAAAACAAGTCGTTATCCAAGTTCGGTATCCACCAAGTGAAACACTTTTTTCACAGGAACTTCACTATGTAAGAATAAGAAAAATCTAACCCGTGTTTCTGAGCTCAGTCGGTGAGATTCCTTTAGGCCTAAGCGGCCGTCGAATATCGTCTGTGAGAGTCGGTAGACGAAGCAACAGCGGCGACAAAGGAATGAAGAGGCGCGGAAGGACGCCGCCGCTGCGTTGTCGTTTCGTCGTGGCGGCTCGGCTACTACTAGACTAGAGTCGCACAGCGCCAATCCGCTCTGCGCGCGTTAGTAAAGCGTACGTGAGCATTTCTTTGCGAGTCTTTCTCCCCACTCGTTCGCACGAGCCACTCCTCCGGTCCTCTCCCTTCAGTATCTTCTTATTTTTACACTTTTTTTGTGTATTTACCTGCACACGTGGATACACTCGATGATGCGGGAACCTCTATGATACAGCAAGAATGTTATATAGGTTAAGCATCAAAGTTGATATGCTTCAACGTCAACGAGTAAATTGACATAAACATGAGGGGATAATTCAAAGTCGCAATCAATGTTGCATGTGATACACTATTGGATAATTTGAGATTATTTTTGCCAAATATGTGCCTACATATTATATGTATATTGAATCAACTAATAATTTTGTTATTAATTCGAAATTAATGCCACGCTATAGATCAATATACACTTCTGGTAATTTTGTTAACTTGGAGAAATTTTTAATGAAGAATTCTAAACTAATTTCTCTTTCAAATTCTTAGGTTTTAAAGAGAACTTTATTTATATTATTATATTAAGTATTTATCCAACTGCTGGACTCCACTATAATTAGTGAGTATTTCGTCCAAGATCTCCTAGTATGGACTCTTCAGTAAGGCTCTCACCTAACAGACCTATACCTTAGATATAATGAGAGAAGAGAGGAACTATAATTAGTGTCAGTGCATCAATCGGTAATGTTAATTGATATTAAAGATCTTACTATATTATGAAAGTTACTATAATACTACAGGCGAATAAAAGGAAAAAGATGAAACCGATTGATAAGTAAGTCTATCAAGGTTATTTGGTCAGAGTGACAATGAATATTGTGTCTATAGTTCTTAATTATAAAAACGATTCTATTATTTCAGATAGTATAGTTGAATTAATTAATAATTGTTGTCTAGAAGTATCGAATGAGGAAACATAGGTGGATGCAACATGTTGGTAGTGAGTAAAAAGACAAATGACACATCGTTTGGTGATGTATATGAGCAGTCATCAATACAATTAGTGAAATGACTTAACCTCGTATAATCTTTTTCAACAATCTGATTGGGCCAACGTTCTGTAGTCCATGAAACAACACTGATTGTTAGCCAGCGAAGTCGTGAAGTTTTTGATATGCCGTATGTCGAAAAGAGAAAGATGCTTCTCGGAGAGGGAATCATATCGCCTCGTTATATCGTGGCAGCGATTCCAAACGAAACACATCTCTGTTCATATTTTCGACTCCTGTTTCTTTCTGTCATAGGCTAATGTCAGATTTCACACCTTATGTGAAACCTTATTTCTAAACCTTACTAGAGAAATGCTCTTTAAAATTGAGGAAAACCTCATCAAAATATGTCCTATAGTTCTTGAGATTAGCTCGAACTCGGAACATACAGACGCTTGTCTTGATTTTATACTATGTCTAGATTGAATACAAACGAATATTTATTATATTCTCTCTCATGCAACGTTTGTGTAGTGTACATGAAGAGAGAAGCACTTCAGTTTGCACCCAAAACACGGTTTTAAGTAATTGCTTCTTAACTTGCTGCGCTGCATGTTTCTTTTTATAGCGTAGAATTTCAAGGAAACCGACGCTGTATAATTGGTCGCTTTGTACTTTATATCTGTCCACTTTAATAGTTTTTTCTGCGCGATGAGATGCGCTATAGGGGACAGTGTGTCCTCGCGTAGCAATGCCGTTGTGTTATGGTTTCCCCCTTGCTCTTTGAGATCTCAAGCACAGTGAACCGTAGCTCCTGGTTTTGTCCACTAAATCGTGCACTACCGGCGCTTAAGCTCTGAAAGCCCCTCTTTTGACGCTAGAGGGATTCTACTTGTTACTGGGAATCCTTCTGTATCCCCTTGGGGATATGTATTGCGCTCTGTTGAGATGAGGGAAATTGAGGAAACAAAATCCGGTAATAAAAACAGACTTTTCAAGTGTGTTATCTATTATCCTATCTTTTCTACTTTATGACTGCAAATTTATTATTTAATTGCAGATAAAAATAATTTCATAAAAGGATACGTATGTAAGGATAGTAACCCTAAGAATTGGTCATAAAATGATCTTAATACGGTATTTATTCTATCTTAATTTTCTTCTAACTTTTATCCAACCTCGGTAATTCTGCTACTCTGTATCAAACATTTATCAAACAAGCTAAGATTCCAATTTCCTCATTTTCAGAACTACGATTCCCTTTAGATCTTGCAGTTAAGATCACAGGACGATCATTCGCCCGCACCTTCGCAGGATACGCTTCCAAAGCTGTATTTTATACCAGGATGGAAACGCGATATTTGGAAACGCGACGTAATGTGATGTTTATCGACAGCGTGGTCGCGCGCGTATTCCCCATTAACATTCCGTATGAAATCCGTAGGTAGATAAGTGGAATGCCCTGTACAGAGACGCGTTTGCATACACGCCGGTGTATATCTAGATGCTACATGCATCTGCGGCCGTCCGTTGAACGTGCATGCACGCGAGTTTAACGAGTGCAGCAAAGGCTGGCGCCAAACGGCGATCCTAACATCGGCCAACCGATTCGCGATCTCTGCCTTCTACGATAATCCTCTGCGATGGCATACTGTTGTCCGCTGTGGAAACGTGATCGAGCATGATCGAGCCTCGTGCTTACAGCCTATCCTAATAGATATCATAATGAACGTACAAAGTCGGGCAAATACTGGCATTGCATAGGTCTGGAGAATGGGAATATTGTGATAGGTATATTACTACAGAATTATACATCATATCTTTTATAGAAAATATTTTTGATAGCTGTAAGTGTTAATTATTAATGTGGAAAGTATTTTTAAGGTCTAAAGGAAATTTCTATCGTTGGTACTGAAAATGATTTACATATATCTGAAATTTTGAGGAAAACTGGCTATTATTAAATACAGAAGTGACAGTAGAGAGAAGGAAACGGTACGTGTAAGGGGCCACGAGACTATTTTTCACTCATGAATGAAGCGATGCGAACGTAAAAGTACTTTATCCATCATATTCGTTATCAAGGACATGACAATGCACAGAGTATTTTTACCACAGAATTTCCAGCTCTGAGAGTATCCTACAATCCCTAGGTAAAAATTCATTTTAATTTCCTGAAAAACTAAATTCTATTAAAGTCCATAACATAAAATTCTTCTAAAATTCAATTCAAAGTGTTCCAGCACGTATCACGAGTATTTATATATTATAATTGTTACACACAGAACAAATGTGACTCCTTGAATAGCGCTGACTGAATAATTTTGATAAGCCTATATATGCATAGATAGGGCAAACAACGCTTTGTAAGAATGCGTTCTAATCGTAAATGCGTTCAGCAACCGGTGACCCAGAATGTTAATACTTTCTCCTTCCTTAAGTATTCTTTTGTTCTTCGTTCAAATGCACCTGTATTGTTCCCGCAACACACAACTGTTCCGTGACAAAGCGATAACGGGTCACGAAGGTAATAACCCCGCTTTTTTTCCCTTTACTTTCTGCCCTCAAATTCGTTCGATGAATAGAACCAGGCATCTATGAAATATTTTTATGACAGGTTCCAATACAATGTTCAGAGGAGAATACTACCTACATAAGTAAACACGTACGAACAGTCGCTGGTGGACCATCGAATTGAACTCCGAAAATAAAACGATACGTGGCTAAGTAGGCTGGAAGAGAAAATTTGTTTCTCCTACTATTTTTTTTTAAAGCTATTCGAAACGTAACATGTTCAAAATGGAAATATAATAGTGATCAATCAGCTACGTCAGAATTAAAATGATTGATGCGATGGATATTTAAAGTCGTGTGTGGCAAATAATGCTTTTTTTGGAATATGTTCATCGATAGAGAATTTTGATATTATATAATTTTATGTATATTAGTGTTATTAATAGATAGTATAATTCAATAATGCTACAATATTATCAGTAATAGTATAAGATACTTAAAGCTTTTTGGAATCTTGGCAAGTGTAGAATTTTATGTCTATGATAGGCTTTCAGTCTTTAAAGTTTGGTAAACTTCAACATTTATCAAAATTTGAAAATTTCAAATATAAATATAGGTATAATGAATGTAAATATAGTTCAAGTATAGATAGATACAATATTCATGAAGTCTAACTTCAATAATGTTTGAAATGAAAAGATTATGTCCATCTAAAAATAATTAAGTTACACAGATTAAGGAACCTGTTACGATTATTATAAAAAAAATTAATTATTAAATAGCTGATAACACAGATAACAAAATAATCTGTTTAGAATTCCAATAAGACAAAATGGTTTTCCAAATAAGATCTTTAATTAGAGATAAAGTACTCGCGTGTAATACAAAGCTCGTTCTAAGCTAAATAGCGAAACGTAATTAGAAAAAAATTATGCTTGTGGTAATGGTACATTAGAATTGCTATTTCATTACAACAAGGAACCTTGAGCCGTGATGGTTAAGTATTGAAACTAGAACGATTGTTTCTTTTTTTTCTTTGGTAAGACTAACTCCAATAATTCCTTGATTTACTGCATCTTATAATCTTGTTAGTTAATTAGCATTTTCTTATTTACAGCATGTATAGAGAAACAAATTACGTAAACTTACGTAAAGATAACAGGATATGAAGTGTAACAGGATTATCTTATCGAATGAAAATATAAATTTGTTCAGCGAAGAAATGATAAAGCTATAATCATGAAAGCGTATGAAGACGGGAAAGAGATACAATAAAACGCGATTTTCTGAGATGATGTTGGGAAAAAAGCACGCAAGATCGTGCGACCACAATATTACCACACTGTGGAGATTACATTCGAGCAGGGAGACACCAGATTTTCATCGATGTCGTTGCGAAATCTCTAATCGAAGGAAGTCATCATAGACTTGAACCGTGCCGGAAGCCTTGGAACTCGAAAGTCTATGAAATTTCATCAATATAATTTTTTACATATTAACAAAATTTAGTTTTTTACGAAACTCTTCTAACTTTCTTCATATAAGTTTTAATATTCCTTTTACATGACGTTCTTTATGTATTTATAAATATGCATCATACAATTTTTATATGTTTTTAAGTCTTTTTGATAGATATTTTAATTCATCTTAAAACTTGTTTGTTATATCCTTTGGTATAGATATTCCTAACTTCATAAATTCCATTTATTGGGTTAGCAACTAAGTGATTACGGATTTTATCATTAGGAGGTATTGACGGTTTGTCAATACTATGATATATTTTTTCTGAAATTTGGAATTCTGAAATCTTGTATATATTTTTAGAAATTCACCTAAACGCTAGAATTCCTAATTATTTATTTAAGAACTCATTCGAAAATTAAAAAAAATTGTTTAAATGCCAATGTCTACAAAATTTCTCTTTGTAAAATTTTCTATCATCAATATACACCATTAAAAAGAAATTTCCGCTCTGTAAGTATTATACTTCTACATACATACATAACGTTATCAATTTAAGCTCTTAGAAATACTACAAAATACGGTCGCACGAAGTGTCCACCTAGTACCAGTAACCTTGGATTAAATCTATTTTAGGTGGACAACGAAAACTCCTGTGTGCAACTTGAACCTTATCGTCACATAGCCAATCACCTCCTCCTCGTGATATCTTAATTCCACGGAATTGAGATTCGAGTCAAATGCAACAAAGATGACCATCTCAGATTAAAATTTATGCGCGTCTGACTTCCCGCGGACCAGCAGAAGAAAATTCATTGACCTTATTACTGGAATGGTGGTCATTTGCATGCAAGTAAAGGCATGAATAAAATTACTGATATTTGTCATATATTATATGCTAATCATTCATTGGATTATTTATAACAATTATTAACAACGCGTTCAGTATCGCGTGTTTCTCATGTAATTCAAACTTTTTATTCAAGCTTTTGTTTTCAATGCGTATAACGTAAGTGGTGATGTGAATTACATACGCATATATGCATAGTAAACGCGATATACTAAACACGACATGCATAATAAAGCAAACTCAGCCTGTAAACATCAAAACTACATGTCAACAACTAAGCCATAGATCATATACTAGAAAAATTGAAATCAAAGGTACATGAAAAAATGTACAGCGCAAGGGGGAAATATGCAATTTGCTTTATGCAAATATTTTTCAAAAAATTGCTCAGACCTCCAAAAATGCACTGTTGTGAATATATAAGTTAAACAAAAATTATGAATCCGTTATTTCTCATTGTCATAGTTCTAATGTCAATATTTTAATTGTATATTCTTGCATCTTAATCTTCTTTTTCGAAATGCATAAAAATCTGAAATTTACAGAACTCTATTTATAGCTTACACGCGAATTACCGGAATGGTATCTAGCAATTTATAAAATCATTTGAATAATCATACGCGTTAGCGTATAATTTGTAATCTTGACTGAGGTTTCGAGTCCTTACTTTCTTAGTTTCTATCGATTCGCTCAGATACCCGGGAACATGTAACTGTTGACGATTAATTTGTTTTACAACAGTATGTCGTGAAAGCCAGTAAAACAACTTACTTGAATCCCCCAGAAGTCAGCATCGTTGGAACAATTTCGCGAATTGTCTTGTCGGAAGTGGAGCAGCACGTTTAACGATTAATTTTCATCAAAACGTTACGTGGATCTTAATGGCGACCGTTTATGGTCATTATATCAAAACGATCTAACCATGATTGATACCAGCACCAACGATGGCAGCTGTATCTGATTTGGACGTTCTTCTAATAAGACCCGACAAAATCATCCTCTTGGACCCGGATAAACAGGCCACGTTGGATATTCTCGCATTAATATCAATTTCTTCGATGCCACGATATTCAGAGAAGATAGCCAAAGTCGTCTTATTGATTCTTGTTCCTCCAGCGTTGACATTTCTTGCTGGAGATCAATCCGATTACGCCAATAGTTGGAACAGCTTCTTCTTCACGAGATGTCCTTATGAATCGGCTCTTATAGTTGGTAGATAGTTTGACGTCTGTAAATGAACGGATAATGAATGAAGAAAGCTTGTTAAAAAAGATTTAACAAGATGGAACAAATTTTTTATTATAGTTTTGCACAACAATTAATGAAGTATTTAATAGGTATAAATAGCTTGTTTGAAAGGTAATGGTATTGTCAGTACAGTGTATATTTCTTGCAAGTTATCTCTATCACTTTCTTTAATTAAATAAATTTTCTGCATACCAGGTTGGTAACGCTAATTTTCTGCATACCAGTTGAGCTCTTGGGAAGTAGAAGTAGAACCCAAGGAAGATAGTAGGAAGGAAGACAGAAAAAGAAAACAGAAAGGAATTAGGTCATTCCTGTTCCAATCCTGAAATCAGCAAGTATAAAGGTACACTTTACAATTTGTGCTTCTCACTTACTCTGCCTTCTCCAGTCTTCTTTTTTCTTGAGGTTTATTTCATTCTATTATTAATTAGTCACTCTATTTATAATTTAAATTAAATTACTTCTTCTTTATGTTTTGTCTTTGAACCTTTATCTTTGAGTGTAATTCGTTCATTGCATATAACTATTTACTTCTTCATATATGTTTTTTAGATTGAAAAATGGTTATGAAGAGTAACGTGAACGATATTCCTTCAGCGAAACAGAATCCACTATTTTCATTTCTAAAAACTATTACCACTCGATTGTTTATCGATAAAAAAAATCGCTGACGCCCTTGGGTTGATTTGGATGTTTCGCACGATGCTCACGTATTTCATATTTTCCTGCCTATTTTTTGCAAACGTGACGATTTTAATTAACGCTGAGACACTAATGAAGCTTAAATCACCCGTCAACTAATTGCCGATATTTATTATCTTCGGTAATAATACGTACAATTATCTGCAACATGTAGCTTTGAGTATACAGATTGTTAATAAATTTTAATTTCTCATAAAAGAAAACGAACACATTTTATAAAAAATTGTTTAAGTAATATTTATTGGAAATATTTAATTAAATGATAGTCAAAAATGCTATGATTCAAAAACGTCGCTGAGCAACAATCATATAGAATGTCGATAATGAAAAAATATCTGTCGATCCTGATACTGTTGCAGATGGTACATTGATGCTTAATTGATTATGCGAATCTATTTCACTTCTTCATCTTCTTTCATTTGACAGCAGGCAGGAAGCCAGAGATTCAAACCTTTCTCTCGAGCCTGCGACGAGTGGTCGATTTCACTGGTTTCCCTTCTGTCTCACGCGTTTGTTCATGTTCTTTGCGTTATGAAGCATCAGTGATCTACCACGATGACCAGAAATAAAATTATCGATAAGAAAACAAAGATGTCTTTCACCGTACTGTTTAAACAAGATGGATATAATAAAACAAAATATCCTCTTATGTTCAAAATCGTTGTATGACCTTCGTTTTATTGATATTATATTTTGTTTTCACGATATTATATTTTATATCTCATTTTTTATATGTCCAATGGTACCGTATTTATAATTGTCATAAGATAATCGTTATTAATATTATGAAATAAAATTTTATGCAAGCATTATCTTTCATCTAATAGTAAGATTTTCAAAGATATATCTCTTTTTCTAATATGTTAGCCTTTTTTATTAAAAAATATTACTATAAAATATACTTATGTATAATTACTTTTAATTACTATCTTATAATTCTCTCATACATAAACTTACAATTACAGAAATATTTTTCCTAAATTATATTTCCAGCTTTTATCTCATAACACGTAACTACACAGTATCAAATAAGATACTTTACAAAAATATTTACTCAAACAATCGTATATTTGCAAAGAAATATTCAAGTGCACAGAGTTAATATTCTGTCCTCTACTAGAACATCCTCTCTTTTGTGATTTGACTGTGTCTACCATAAAATTTCTAGTCACAGCTGACGATGCAACAATAACCAACGCTGATCTACGTGTACTGCACCAGTGATACCGTTTGATCAGCAGAATTATCTTTTTTCTTCCTTTTCCTTCGTTCCACGACGATGACCGTGGACTGGTCGGTCGCTTCGAAACCTACGCTATGCTCGATACTTTATTTGATTTCCAAGAATTTTTGTGGACACGAACTTTCACAACGGGAAGCCTGCAAGGAGGATGGATTTATTCATTTACACCCATTCGATGGGGGAATCACGGACGAACCGGCTGTACTACCACAGCGCAACATGTCAAAACGATTTTTCATCGTCTAGGTCCGGTGCAGACGACCGTTATGCAGACATCATTGCGATCTCATAGTGGTGACGTCGTACGATTTCGTTTGTTTATATTTTTAACCACTTAATTTACATACATTGCTATATATATAATATATATAATATATATACGAGATTTTAGAAACTTAGCTATTCAGTTTTGTAGCATTGCTTCAAAAACTCTCAATTTGATTGAAATTAAAAGTAGAGGTCGAAGTAGAAAGTAAACTCTACCTTCGTTGAATCAGAATTATGATTCATATTCATACATGAATGTATGATACCGATATAAAAAACGTACCGTACTGACCATATAAAGCAAGGAAATATTTACTCATTAATTTAATTTTTTTTAAATTGGTATAAGGACTTTATCCATCCATATGCTCGTCATTATAAGTACTTACAATTAATACAACCATCCTATTCTATTCTGTCCAATTCTACTGCAAACTGTCTATGTATTTATGACATCTAAACTGATCAGTTGGAGCAATAAAAATGAAGAATATAAGAACAGCCAACAAGCGGCGTTGACATCGGTTCAATTTCCACTGTTAAACTAATCCTTCGTTTGTTGAGACTCTACAACAAAAATGACAAATCGTCTTCATTGAATATAAGGAAAAAAATATTCTCAAGTAGAAAAACTAGTTAGTTTATTAATTACATAACTTCTCACTACAAAGGAATCTTTACTTATGTAATTGAGACTTAACTACTACAAATTAATTCTACTCGAATCTATGTTAATTCTCGTAGATGTATTTATACATGATGTAATGTATAGTGGAGAATAACATACTGATGCATTAAATACAAGAAATCTCTGAGTGAACAAGCCATTATTACCTTCAAGATATTGACAATACTGATAACAAGCTTATGACTCATTTTTTCTATAACTCCAACTAACAACTGTTTATGAGAATTGTTCTAGTGTCTAATTCAAAATATCGCTGTAATAAATGAATATATTCAAATTCGGTTTTGCGGCATAAAACAAGACTCGTGATATTCTTCGGGGATTACATATTCTCGGTGCTCCATACAGTGTCTGGATCTCTTCTATGAGATTCTATTAATAACGCCGGTTTTGCGGATTAAATAGCGATCATAGATACAGAGGAAAAGTGAATATGTATTCTTGCGCGTATCAACGAAGCATTCATTGACCCTGTTTGAAACATCGAGCCAGACCTAATTTCTGCTCCTCGGATAATTAAGTGAAGATGAAATTTAATTTGTCCGTCTCATTTGATCTGTTGACTAATTCATCATTTTGTTGGCATAGGGTACTGATATTTAATGCAGTAGTCATTTTCTACCATTCCTAGAAATTCTAACGTTACATAACTCAAAAGCTTCGTAATTCCTTCTTTGTTGGGTAGGTTCTGTGGACAATCGAGTTGATAGTATGGTTGTCCCATTAACGTGACTTTGGGAAGATATCTTATCTTGCATGTTATCTTTTAAGTGACATTATTTTCTTCCTGCATTTTTTCCCTGCATTGTATTATTCTTAGTATTATCTTCTATACAGATTCTTTACATCTATGTATTATGTTCTATATATATTTATAAGGAAATTTATATGTAACACCTCGCAAATAATTATAGTTATATATGTGATATATATAGTTAAAGTATAGTTTCTCTTCTTTTTCTTTTTTTTTTAGAAGAAAAGTTTTTCTTTCAATTCTTCTGCATTATTTAATTATTAATTTTACCTCGTGTGTGCTTTCTCCTTTTTGGATAAAGTTTATATATTTGTCTCTGTAAATTATTGCAGTGTTATATACATTTACAAAATTGTCACTTTTTCTCTTTAGAAGAAGAATTTTGTATATATATATATATATGTACTCACGTACTTTGTCCAACGCCGACCTTCATCTGACATCCGAGACCTCTTTTTGTCCTCACGGCGTATATGGAATCCACATGGAGATGTTGTGTATACACTCCTTAAAAGGGCCTTTTTCCATAAAAGACGACGATGCAATCCGGTCTTAAAATAATTACATCCTTTGATAGTTTTTGTACTTTGCTGATGCATTAACAAGCTGAATTAAATACTGCAGGAAAGAATATTTCTGCAATAGCAATGATTCTAATTCCATTATAAAGTCATATACTCACGATAAAATATAAACTTTAAGAATAATTCAAAGTAGACAAATATACATTAAAATTCTACGTATTCTTAAATAATTTCTCAATAAAAATGACCAAATACGCATTTATACAGACACTTCATCTATCTATTTTCGAATAATTTCTTAATAAAAACTACTTTAAAATATCAAACAATAACAAATAGTAAAAATTATAAAGTACATGAAACAAGAATACCAATCACACATACATGTATTAAATTAACTTAGTCCTTAAAAAGTTCATTCATTAATTTAATAGTGGATTTTTTCACCTTAACAATCCAAACAAAAAATACGCAAATTTTGCGTCATTACATGATTCGTCTTATTCTCGGCATTCGCTTTGCAAGCATAACTGTATCCAGCGCGACAAGGAGAGAAGATTCGTCGACGAACGAGTCATTGGTTTACTCGAGCGAAACGTATGCATAATCTCGAAAGAGTCGTGCAAACGATGATTCGTCACACAATAGTGTTGCAACGAGAAATTGAACGAATTCTTTCGGCGAAGCGAGCTGGCGTGAAAGGTAAAATACAAATCGATTTCCCGTTTATATGGTGCAAACACGTTCTTGCGTAACGTGCACGACAATAGTCCCAATGCAAATAGCAATCGCAGTGATTTTGATAAATCATGTTGATTCGACCGAAACCAGCGCTCTTTTGCTTGTTTAATGTTTAATCGATCCATATTTTCGTAATTAATCGTAGATTGTGTTTGATCACATGGCCTTAATAACATACGATTGTGTTTCCTTCACTAATAATCTCAAGCAGTATAATTTGTGGAAATATTCTTGGGCATGATCGCATCTGTGTTTCTGTCTGATCAGACTGTTTTATAAAGATCCGAAAGTAGCTGCGAAAGTAGGACAATTCTGTAAGAATAATAATCATTGTATTATAAATTCTCAATTTTTTGTATGAGAATTAGTGTAAGACTTACAATAAAAAAATGTTCAAATTCGACTTTTTCAAAAATGAAGCCTGCAACGCAATTTCGTCAATCTTGAGTTTTGTCTTATTTTGAGCCACAGAATCTCCCGATGACCCCATTTTTATTGTAAATTAGGGAACACCTGATATATGACTTCTATTAATTTTGCAATAAAATAGAATTGATATTATAACAGAAGTTAATTTTCTACTAATATATTATAATAACACACCTAATTAAATCTGATTAATTTACTTTGATGTATAAATTACAGAATAACATAACATAATTTAAGGAAATATATGTCCTAGAGGAACTATATCAGAAAAAAAGCAAAAGGTTAAAATCTCTTTTTAATAATGACGTTCGTTCGAGCAGGGCAACAGATTTACTTACCCTCGTACGAAAGGAAATAAACACATTAAAAAAGCTAAAAAGTTTCCGTCTCGGTATTAAAAGCCTGTTTTTAGGCGGCAGAACGGATTCATCCGTCACGGCTGTGAGACTTCCGTTCTTTGTTTGCAGTCTCTATTTCAGCATCTTCAAGCAGTCACAAAGAACGACTTTAGTTATCGAACACAGCGGGCCAAGCATTCATCACGAAATTACATTTGCTTTTTCTCCTTCGATAACGAGTATCACGCTGCGCAGAATAAAACAAAAACGCCATCTGGTTAACTCTTTCGTAGACGGTGAGAATTATTTTTCCCACTAATTAAAATGTATGAGTAATATGAAAATGCATAATCCATTTTTCTGGTGAACGTAGAAAATAAAAGATTTGATTAAAATTGAAATTAAATTGAAGTTTGACACAAATGTTACTTTACTGCATCACTCCCATTTACGTTTAATGAACATATAGAGAAGAACTTATTATACCTAGTAGGAAAATATTTATTAGTAAATTCAATAATTACTAAATAAATAATTATGTACTAACTAAAATTACTAACTAAATTACGTTGAAAATTTTAATATAAATTTGTCCCTATTTATATGTTCGCTACTGTATACATATTTGTATTTAAAATTCTATTTTTTCATAAGAATTTAAATAATACTGACGAAAGGGTTAATACAAGAGTTAACAAATGAATAAATCTGGTTATAAGTAAATAAATGTAGTACTTCAGATGCACGTTTCTCGTCACTAAGGGGCTCTACCATCATTATAATAAATCAAAGTTTACATTCTATTGTGAGACACTCGATCGATTTCTAACAGTACAAGTTAATCCGTGATAGTGACAACAATGATACATCAAT